TTGCACCAGTCTACACTCCCACCAGCAGTGGAGCAGGGTTCCTCTTTCCCCGCAGCCCTACCAGCATTTGTTACTGGTTGATTTCATGATAGCAGCCATTCTTTCTGGAGTGAAGTGGAATCTCAGCATTGTTTTCATTTGCATCTTTTAATTTGATATGATCCCATTTGTTGATTCTTGATATTTTATCTTGTGCACCTGGGGTTCTGTTCAGAGAATCTTTGCCTATGCCTATAACTTCAAGGATTTTACCTTTTTTGTCTTCCAGCAGGTTAAGTGCGTTTGTTCTAACATTTAAGTCTTGATCTCTTTATTTTATTTTATTTATTTATTTATTTTTTAAAGTCTTGATCTCTTTTGATTTTAGTTCAGTATATGGTCAGAGATATGAGTCTAGATTAAATCTGCATGTGGATAGCCAGTTTTCCTAACATCATTTATTAAAGAGGCTGTTTTTCTCCAGTGTATGTTTTTTTACCCCTTTGTCAAAGATCAAACAGTTAAATGTGCTTGGGCTTGTTTCTCCATTCTCTGTTCGGTTCTTTTGATCCTCTTGTCTGTTTTGTGGTAGTATTATGCAGTTTTTATCACAGTAGCTTTATAATGTAACTTCAAGTCCGGGATTGTGATGCTTCCTCCTTTGCTCTTTTTACCCAAGATTGCTTTTGCTATTTTGGGTTTCTTCTGGTTCTATATGAATTTTAGGATTATTTTCTCCAGTTCTGTGAAGAATAAATACTGTTGGAATTTTGATTGGAATGATATTGTATCTGTATATAAATTTTGGAAGTATGACCATTTTGCCTATATTGGTTCTGCATATCCAGGAGCAGAGGATGTCTTTCCATTTTCTGATGTACTCTTAAATTTCCTTTTTCAGAGTGCTGCAGTTTTCTTCGTAGTGCTTTTTCACTTCCTTAGTTAGGTTAACTCCTAAGTATGTAATTTTTCTTGGTGCTATTGTGAATGGTATTTTTTTCCTAATTTCTTTCTCAGTGAGTTCATTATTATTGTACAGGAACATTATTGATTTTTGCATTTTTTTTATCTTGCTACATTACTGAATTTGGTTATTAATTCTAAGAGTTTGGTGGAGTTTTTTTGGGTTTTCTATGTAGAGGATCATGTTATCTGCAAATAATGATAATTTTACTTCTTCCTTTCCTGTATGTAGCCCTTGTATTTTTTCTTGCCTAATTTGCTCATATTTCAAGTACTGTGTTGAACAGGAGTGGTGATAATGGACACCATTGTCTTCTTCCTGATTTTAGAGGAAAAGCTTTCAGTTTTTATCCATTTAATATGATGTTGGCAGTAGGTTTGTCATAAATGGCATGTATTACATTGAGATAAGATCCTTCTATACCTATTTTCTTCATTTTTTTAATCACAAAAAGATGTTGGATTTTGTCTAAGTTTTTTTCTGTATCTATTGAGATGACCATGTGATTTTTGTCCTCATTTCTCTTTATGTGATATATTACATTTATTGATTTGGGTATGTTGAACCATCCCTGTATCTTGGGATGAAGCCTACCTTGTTATGGTGTGTGATCTTTTTGATGATTTATTGTATTTTATTTGCCAATATCTTACTGAAGATTTTGCATTTATGTTCATTAAAGAGATTGGTCTATAGGTCTCTTCTTTGGTTGGATCCGTGTCTAGTTTTAGAATCAGAGCAGTGGTAGCTTCCAGGAGTGACTTTGGGAGTACTCCTCCTTTTCAATTTCATTAAAAAACTTGAGGAGTATGATGTTAGAACTTCCCTAAAGTTTTTGTAGAATTCAGCAGTGACTCCATTCAGATCCAGAGTTTTCTTAGTTGATAGATTTTTTATTGCTGCTTCAATTTCATTGCCTGTTACTGAATTATTCAGGGCTTTTAAATCGTCTTGATTTAGTTTTGGTAGTTCATAGGTATCTAGGAATCTATCCATTCCTCCTGAGTTCTCCAATTTATTGGCACACAGTCTTGCCAAGTAGTTGTGAATAATCTTTTTGATTTCAGCAGTGTCTTTTGTGATTTCACCATTTTCATTTCTAATTGCATCGATTTGGGTCTTTTCTTTTCTTTCCTTTTTTGGTTTATTCTTTTGAAGAGACAAATCTCCCTTATACTAGCTTTGGGTTTGAATTGTTCTTGCTTTTCCGGGACCTTGTGGTGCATTATTAGGTTATTTATTTGAACTTGCTCTATTTTTCTGCTGTGGACATTCACAACTATAAACTTTCCTCTTAGGGCTGCTTTCATTATGTTGCGTAAGTTGTGTTACGTTGTACTGGCATTATTGTTTTGTTCTAGAAACTGATTTCTTCTGTAACTCATTGTATACTTAAGAATATATGATTTAGTTTCCATGCATTTGTGTAATTTGTTTTGTTGTTGATTTCTAGTTTTACTGCACTATGATCTAATAGTATACATGGTATACTTTCAGTTCATTCATATTAACCCGAGCTTGCTTTATTAGCTAGGATGTGGTCTATTTTGGAGAAAATTTCATGTGCTGCTGAAAAGAATGTGTATTCTGTTGTTGTTGGGTAGAACACTCTATTTATTTTAATCATTAATTGATTCCCAGATTGGGTCAATAAAAACTATCTGAAGCTGGGTTCTGTGTCCTCTTGACGTGTCCTCATCATTCTTTAAGCATTTATGTACCTTTTGGCTTCACAGCACCTCCCAGCCTTGGAGTTTTCTGTCCCAGTCCTGTGAACAGCCGTTTCACCGGAGACCTTGTTCCTTAGGGTGGGGAATGTTGTTAGAAACCAAGGTCTGGGTGCTAGGTGTGTTCACTGCTATTGTCCCCTCTGCTCCCAGCCCCTGACAGGCCTTGGATATATGTATACATACACGTTTATATCCACTTTCCTATTTCTCTGTCCATCTATTCATATACCCATTTTCTATCGCCATCTACCTGTCTAAGCCTGTCTGTCTGTCTGTCTGTCTATCTGTCATTAATTTATCAAGTTTATACTGATATATCCCGTTCCAACCCACAGGATTTATTCTTGCTGTCCTCTTTTTTTAATATTTACATTTGTTTTACCCTTCTATAATTGATTTGCTCGATCAATTTGCTGTGTATATGTTTGGCTACTGGGAGCTCTTTCACTTGGTTACTGTGTCAATTTCAAGTATCCCTGTCATAGTTGTGGTGTGTTTCGGTTTGTTTTCTAGCACTTTTTCATTATATGGCACCAAAAGATATTCCAGGCATATCTTGTGTATTTCCTATCCCAGACCTAGCATCAACCACTGCTCCCAGGGGACTCGGTTTCTTTGCTGCAGAATAACATTACAAAACAAGATCTGGGTGTTATAGGCCCTGGTTTTTCTGACATCCCTGTATTCACACTTGGTAAACAAAGGAATGACTAATTTCTTCCTAATCTTTTATTTTCATGAGAAATAGATGTCCTCTATTTCTCTTATAAGAATACTGAGAATCTAATCACTCAAAATCTTGGAGAATTATAATTGCAAACTGCATATTAATATGCACTGGAAACCTTGAAGCCGTGATGTCCCTTGTCCCAATTTTGATCTGGGAATTTTCCATCTTACTAAATTAAGGTGCAGGCAGGGCTTCTTCACTTTTTTGTGTGTCACTGACTCCTTATTTGCCAGACTGGTCAGGCCCTTTCTTAAAACAAAACAAAAAATATAAATTTAAAAAAGTGTATTACAAAAAACAGACTTACAAAGGAAACCAATTATATTGAAATGTGATTATCAAAATTTTAAGGAAATTTTTGCTATAGTAATATGTATCAGTATGTTGCAGTATATTATAAGACTTGGCAGTGAGTTTAATAACTACTGTAGAAGCTGGGTTAAGTAAATTGTATTTCAAAATATTTACAACAGTTACAATGTTCTATGAAGATATATGTGCTTTCTACTAGTGACTTTGTCACAGGTGCTATGAATACTACCATGGTTGCCTATAGGCATAATTGAAGAGAATGCTAAATTTCAGTTAGAAGTTATTAAAAAGACATGTAATCCTCCCCCACCCAAGGTGTTTAAGAAAACTCGAGGTGAGATCACCTGTGTGGAGGGAGGATGAGTTAGGGGCTTCCATGGTCTGTTTACATTTGGTGAGTACAGCCAGGAGAATTAAGTATTTAAATCAAAACCTTTGAAAAGTTTGGAAAATCAAAATAGTAGTCTTTAAAACGAAGCGTAATAGGATTGGAATGTGAATTACAAAGGAATATTAATATCCGTTGTTTTCTGTACATCATTGAGTTGAGAAGCAAAGGCTTTTTAGAATGTTTTTGTATGTTTTTAGAAGTGACAATTATTTGAAATACAGACTTTGGATAAAAGCCACATGAATGATAGGGAAAAGCTAGCACAGAAGAAATGTTTCTTCCATAGAAAAGTAAACGTTTTTTCTTTTGTTCTTGAATTTGTATACATATACTATTACGAACTTTTTTTAAATTATTAGAGAATAATGGAACCTGATCAGGACAACAAAAATCAAGTACTCAAAGAACAACAGCTGGATGAAAAATCTATGAATGATGAACAAAATGAGGTAAAAAAGAAAAGTGCTAGGTATTATTAAAATTCATTTATGTCCGTTTTGTAGAAAAGAATGTTTTGTATGTCAGTGCCCAACATTGCTTTGAATTTGGGAGGCTATTAGACTTCAAAAAAAGTTTCTTTTGCTTTTATTGTGTTACTCAAGTCTTAAAAGAAGAATCATATTTCTAGTCTCTTACAAAGTTTACTTTAACTACCTTCTCACTCCCTCATGTCTTGGATTTGCACCTGGAACTTAAGAGATTACTTAGCAATTACTGTATATCTGATCAGACCCAAGAGGAAACAGAAACCTAGGAAGCTTAAACCTGTTATGCAAGGCCATATGTCTGGCGCACAAAGCAGCTGTGTGTTACAGTATCACTGCTAATTTTTAAATACTACAGCAGAAAAACATATTCACAGGGCCAGGGATTTAGCTCAGTGGTTCCGCCACCTGCCTCGCAAGTGCAAGGTCCAGAGTTCAATTCCCGGTACCAAAAAAAAAAAAATTCACAATTACAGTGTAATTTAAAAGCCACATCATAATTATAGATGACTAGGAAGGGATTTGATAGAGCACTGGAGTAAGATTTGAGTCTTGTTTGTTTGTTTTGTCTTTTGAGACAGGGTCTCACTACATAGCCCAGGCTGGCCTTGCACTTGAAATCTTTCTGCCTCAGCCTCCTGAGTGCTGGGATTACAGATGTATGGTGCCACTCTCAACATACATTTGATTCTTAATCCTTGCCTTAATTATAAGAATTTCTGTGACTTTGATCCAGTGTGAAATGTGGTTTTCTTGTTCATATAAAGGATCTAGAAAAACTTGGTAGTGTTAGGAAAATCAATAGGTGATGGTGTAAAATATTGAACACATGCATTATTAATGTGGGCATACTTATTTTGAGACTGCCTTGCTCAAGGTCAGAGAAATTTGGCATCTTTTATTTAGAAAATGGAGTATAAGAGCCGTTCAAGTTTTTGGTACTATTTGATATTTTTTAGGGATTACTTGATGAAATTAGAAAGAAAAATATCCAGCTACAGGAGGAGATCCAGAAGCTTGAAGCTAAGTTACAAGAGCCCACCAAAGACTTCCAGGTACTTTAATAATTTTATATATCACGTATTTGTGGACATGTACTTTTCAAAAAAGTGATTTAATTATACAAGGTTCCTTTCTCTCTCTCTCTGCAGTACTGGGGATTGAACTCAAGGCTTTCACACTGAGCTACACCCCCAGCCCTATTTTATTTTATTTTTTTATACCAGGGATTGAACTCGGGGCCTTGCGCATGTGAGGCAGGCAGCGGCACCACTGAGCTAAATACCTGGCCCTATTTTATTTGTTTTTATTTTGAGACAGGGTCTCAGTAAGTTATTATGTTGCCCAGCTTGGGCTCAAGCTTGCAATCCTTCTGTCTCAGCCTCCCATTTTTATTGTGAGATAGGGTCTCATTAAATTGCCCCAGTGAAATTAGAACTCGTGATTCTGCTGCCTCTGGCTCTCTCAGTGCTGGACTATCTATCTTCCCAACTGACAAGATTCATTTTTGAAGCATTATAATCCTTCAAAACATTACTATGTATTTTAATAGCCCCACATGGAAAATCACCCAACTGTTCTTTCATAGTAGAATAAATTAATAATTGGGTACATTCGCACAATTGAATACTATACAGCAATGAGAGTGAACTGACCACAGCTATACAAAACAAAGACATGGATGAATCTCACAAGTATGGTGACCCCAAAAAGACCAAAGAGGTCATAACACACAAAAGTGGGGCATTTAAAGTCAGAATAGTGCAGTGATGGCGAACCTTTTAGAGCTTTCAACGATAACAAACGGCACACCTGCCATAGGTTCACTACCACTGGTGTAGAGTTGACCCTTAGAGGCAGGTAAGATCCCGACAGGTACCCGGCAGTCTTCTTCTGTGTCCTGGTGTCCTGTCTGTTGTCTGGGTGCCAGTCACAGAAATGTTAGCTTTGTAAAATTTCAACATGCTCTATGCTTTTTATAGTACATGCTCTTTTGTATTATGGATGCACACTAAAATAAAACCTATAAAACCAAAAAATTAATAAAATTTACAAAAAGAAAGTGATGGTCAATGCCAATTACTTTTTGATCAAATGCTTGTTCTCACGGAGTTCTTTTATTCTGTCATTCAAGATGCTGTAGTAATTTAAATAAATTTCACAGCTTAAAATGTTGGATATATATTAATTCTCACTAAAATTGTCTCCTAAATTTGACACAATTTTCATCTCCTATTTCTTCCTAACAACTTAGAGTATTAAAAAATTAAAAGAATGTCACTTCTTGTTTTTTGTTGTTTGTTTTTTGTCTTTTTGAGACTGGGTCTCGCTGTGTAGTTCAGGCTGGCCTTGAATTCACTGTGTAGTCCAGGCTGGCCTCAAACTCCTGGCAGTCTACTGCTTCAGCCTCCCAAATTCTGGGATTACAGGTGTATGCCACCACACCCGGCATTTTCTGTTGTTGAAACGGGAGATGGGATGTTGAACATCAGAAGGTACAGTTCCCTGTGCTCCTGAGATGGCTGACTTCAAGCAGAAGACTGGCAGGACTCTGGTTGCTTCTCAGTCTGGGACCAGATCAAAGGCCTTTAGCAACCAGCCAGGCCAGTGGGTCTAGTGGACCCACGCTGAGGTCCAGAGGGCTAAGGGAGTTGCTCTGGGCCGCAGTGTGGTCAGCGCTAGAGTTGGGCTTTCTTATTCAAATTCTAGAAAGTTCTTGGCTTCTTAGGGCTGATTGGGTGTTTTCACACGTGTGGAAAACATTGCCTTTTTCAGACATTGCACAAAGTTTTGAAGTTAGCCTGTGCTCATCAGAAATCTTACTGAAGCTGCATGTGAAGATAGACGTTTTATAGATTAAATGATTCAATGATTTAGTGAATACTTCTAATCTTTTTCTGATAACACCTTTTATTGTAGCGTGTAAAATAACCATAAGAAATAGAAATGTAAAAAAGCCATGAGAAATAGAAATGTTAACACTTAACTCATTTGTGGCTTTATATGTCGTCACTTAATGTCTGTCAAATCCAGTGATTTGATTTTATTTTATTTTTTGGTACTGGGGATCAAACCTTGCTCTTGTGAGGCAGGTGTGGTGCCACTGAGCTAAATTCCCAGCCCTTTTTATTTTTATTTTCGTGATACTGGGGATCGAACCCAGGGTCTTGCATGTGGTAGGGAAATCTCAATGGTTTTAAACAGTGGTTTTAAGTATAATTATCTAACTTTATCCTAAAAATTACAAGACATGTTGGTAATATCTCTTCACTTTTTAATAAACCTAAGTGGTTAACCTAATGGTTATGAAAAAAATAGTTAAAAGTTGATAGGGCCAGGGATTTAGCTCAGTGGTTTCGCTGCCTGCTGCACAAGCGCAAGGACCGGAGTTCGATCCCTAGTACCAAAAAAACCAAAACCAAAACAAAATCAAATCAAAACAAAAAAAAGTTGATGGACAGGTGTTGCAGAAAGTACAATTTAAATCTGATAAGTTTTGTATCATATAATTCAGGAGACTTTCTTTTCAGGTGAATTTATCTGGGTTTTCCATAAAAATAACCATACCATATACAGTATATAAAATATGTGTCATATTTTTTGTGGTGAAATTAAATACACTAATTATTCTCTTATGAGATAGTAGATTATTGGCACAGTTATTTAAAGGTTACTTAGCTTTATGAATCATGTAAGCTTTAGAATCAAACAGTGTACAATAATGACCAGTTTAAACACTGATTAGAAAGCCAGGTGTGGTGGTGTATGCCTGTAATCCCAGCACTCGGGAAGCTGAGGCAGGAGGATTGCCATGAGTTTGAGGCCAGCCTGGGCCACATAGTGAGTTCAAGTTCAGCCTGAACTGCATAGTGAGACCCTGTTTCAAAAAGAAAAGAAAAGAAAACAAAACAAAATAGAAAAGCCTCACTGATTAGAAAAAATGAGAGGATTATATACTTAAAATTTTATATATG